ACGAACAATCATTATTAAAAACATGAAAGACTTAATGTTCTACATATTCAACACTGGCAACACATTAGAAGAAGAACCTTCTAATGCGAGTATGTTAGAAGTGAACTCTATGGTAGAAATAGAGCATATTGAAGAAACTGAAACAATCACTTCTCAATATGAAGAAAATCCAATTATGGATATATCTATTATTTGTTATTTTTTTTTTTTTTTTTTATTCAAAAATAAGATTAAATTTATTTCTACAACACAAGAATACCATTAAAATCATATACAAATAATTATATACAAACAAATAGATTTAGAAGACATTATCAATGTTATAACTATAATCACTATCAACAAGATAATAGCCATAATCACTTTAATAATAATTATCATATTTATAAATATCATAGTACATTCTCAAATAATCACATTTATAATAAAATGAGAAGTAATTATTATAACCACAAATACTATAATACAGGTAAAATGTTTAATCATTATTATGAGAATAAACAAAGTAAAAGATATAGAAATAAAGGATATTATAAGAAAAGACAATGAAGAAAGACAAAAGAAAACAAGAAAATAATACAAGAATGGATGAAGAGATTTGAAGAAATAGAATGATAATGAAAGAGAAGTTTAAAATAAAGAAGAAGAACAAGAAGAAATACACATAGAGTTTAAAGAAAAGAATAAAGAATAAAAAAACAAGAAAGAGATAAAGAAGAAGAGATAATAGAAAGATATGAGAGAAAAAAGAAATAGAACATGAAAGCGAAATAAAAGAAATGGAAAGAAAAATAGAAGAAAAGGAGAAATACAAAAGAAAGAAGAAGTGAAGAAGACAATAAAATAGAAAGAAGAGTAAACACCAGATAGAAATGTATCAGAAATAAGAACAAATACAAACATTGAAAGTGAATTTAGAGAAACAAAAGAAAGAAGAAACTAATAGATTAAAGAAAGAAAAAGAGAAATAAATAAGAGAAATAAACAAGAAGAAGAAAACAATAAAACAAAAGATAAAATCAAACAACAAGAAGAAGAAATAACAAAGATGAAAGAACAAAAAGAAATTAAAGAGAAAGATAAAAGAAATTGAGAAATAGAAAGAAGAAAATGATAAGATTGAAACAATAAAAGAAAATTCAATTATCAAACCGTCAGAAGAAAAAGAAAACAAGGTCAAAGAAGAAGATATCAAAGATGTAAATTTTAACAAAGTGAAGAAGAAGAAAACAATAGCACTGACAAAAACAGAAGTACAAAAGAAGTGGATCGAGTGGAATAATTATAGAAGAGAAGAAGTAGATTCAATCAAAGAAGAAAGCAGGAAGAAACTAAAACAAATACAAGAATGAGTAATTCAAATCATGAAAGAAGAATTACTAAGAATGACATTAGAGGAACTGGAGAAGATAAATGAAGAGAATAACAATATAGAAGAAATAATAAAGAATAAATGAACAATCAGAAATAGAAGAAAAGAAGATAAAAGTTATTATTGTTATTGAATAAATATAATAAATATTAAAATGAAAATTAGATATTATAGAAATTAAAGAGATAATAGAAGAAAGAATAATAAAGAAGAAGGATATATACAGATGATTAAAAGAACAAGAGAAATAGATGAAAGAAAAAAGAAAATAGAATAACAATAAATATATGAACAAATACATCAATTCAATAAACTAAAATAAATAATGACAAACAATATGAAAGATGAAATAAATAATAATAAAAAGAAATAATACAATAAAATAAAGAAAAAGAAATAATTAAATATATGAATAAAGAATTGAAGTGTGAATGTGAAAATATAGATGATATCAAAAGATGAAATTAATAATCTAAGAAGAAGAGCTAATAAATTAAAATAATTATAATTAACATGAATTACACTAGAATTAAAAGAATAATGAAAAATAAATAATACAATGATGAATATATTATTAATAAAACATCAAATTAAACAAATAGAACATTTAATTAATATGAAGAAGAATAGAATAAAAATTAATAAAGAAGATAGAATAAATAAAAACAAAATACTAATAAGAAATTAGAAGAAGATTAAAGAAAATATAAAATATCATGATAATGAAATAATAAGAGATGAATATGAATTAGAATTGATAAGAACAATAATGTGTTATGAATTGAAATAATGAAATATGAGAAATGATGAAAATGAATAAGAATTGAATTTGGAAGTGATTTTATAAAACATACGATAAAAGAATTAATAAAAATGAATTTAATGAAATATATTTATTGGTACAAAATAAGAATGAACCATCTATAATAATAAATTATTTAAATAATAAATTTAATGAAATATATATTATTAAATGAAAATTAAATAATGTAAGTATTCATTTAATAAAATAAATTAAAAATGAAATGAATGTTATGAAATTATGAAGTAGAATATTGAATATTATTAATATATAATAAATTTGTTATAAATAATTAAAATTAATGTAAGAAAATGGTATATTTGTATGAATTAAGAAATCATTAATTACATGAAATAATATTTTAAAATGGTGTAGTATTTATAATGATAAAATATCATCAATTGAACATTATTAAATTGTATTGTAAATAAGAAGGTACAAATTGATAAACATAAATTAATAATGAATATATCTGGAGATGTGTTAAATTAAAATATAAAATAAATATAATAATTGTTGAATTAAAGAGAATAAATTGAATTTAATATTCAATAAAAATGAAATTAGTAAATTCCAATGAAGAATTGAAATAAAAAGTATTCGTTGTATGGAATCAATAAATAATTAATAAAATTGAATATTTCATAAAAGACCAGATATTTATATAGAAGATAAAATAAAACAAATATGAATAATAAATGATATGTTAATAGTATGTGATAAAAAGATAATTCTAATATTTACTACCAAATTTGAAATGTATAGAACTCTCCATTTCAAAATAATACAAATTAATAACCTAAAATGAAAATAATTCCAATAATAATAACAATAAATTGATTAATATAGAGAAGTACTCAATGAATAAATTATTCAATAGAGAGTGAATGATGTAATCTCACTTGAGTAATGTGAAGTAGATAATACAAGATATATTGATACTTATTTTATTAATTTTTTATTGTATTTGTTATTTCTTTTTTTTTCTTTTTTTTTTCTTTTTCTTTTTTCTTTTTTTTTTTTTTCTTTTTTTTTATTTTGAATATTGTACCTTAGATATACATCACAAAACCCTAAAATATTTTCATGCTTCAAATCATCAATCATCATCTGATTATGATGTTACTATTAATTAGAATACATCTTAACCAATATTGCAATAATACCAATGTTCATTATTTATGTTGGTTGAATATCATTGATATTAAAAATGTACTTATTTATAAAGATGATAATATTATTTACTTATTAGAATACAAGTATATTTGATAATGCATGTATTATCAATGACAAATGAACTGTTGTTATGGTGTTTTAAGAAAGAAAATTGTTCATAGCAATATAGTAATAATGATATATTCTCTTTAAAGATGAAATTAAAGAAAGGAATTTAAAATACTCATTAAAACCAAATAGAAACTTAAATGATGAATATTTAAATCAGAAATATTTGAAATACTTTATTGTATATCAAATAAATAAGAAATGAAATTTGTCACATTTCAAGAACTAAAAGGTAAAAATAAATTAATAGATAATGAAAAATACAATGTTAAAACAAATAATTTGCATGAAGAATGAACAATAAAAAATAAAACTATTAACATTTAATTATCTCCTTTTTATTTTTTATTTATCTTATATTTGTGAATACAAAAATAATAACATCATAATTAAACACAAAATCAATTATTTAAATAATAGTAGTTGAATGAAAAGGAGATGGGAGTGGAGGAAGAATAGAATAAATAAGAGATTACTTATTTTTCTTAACTCTCACTCATTTGATATAACAAACCCTCATACACAAATAAAGACATCTGAGGGATGATTTGCAGTAAATACTTTGGTATTTTCTTATTTATCTATTTAAATTCTTTTCTTTCATTTAAATAAACACAACATCACAAAATAAGAAAACAAAATAAAATATATAATCAACATAAACATCCAATCACAAAATAACAAATAAATAAAATAACAAAAATAAAATACAAATAATGAAATACAAATAATGAAATATTAATGATATTTATTTGTATATTCATCATTTCATTGTTTTGATAATTCATTTTATTATAATTATTTTATTCTTTATTCTTTATTATATTAATATTCATTGTATTGATGTATTTATTTATGAATTTATATCATCAAATCTATTATCATTTTTATTATTCATTTTATTTCTTTTGTTTTATTCTTATTTCATATTCTACAATTTATATCTTCTTCATTTAATTCATTGATTTATAAAATATCATTAAACAATCAATGTATTTTAATGATGTGAAGAATGACAACAATCGTATTAATTAAATAATAATTTATTTATTTTTAATAAAAGAAATAATGATAAATAATGATATTAGAAGTTTAATTTCATTTTATTAATTGTGTTATGTTTCTGATATTGTATCTTCAATTCACAAATTAATTAAATTATATGATAAACACGAAAATTATATTTAAAAGAAAAGAAGATAAAAACAATATCAATAATAAAATTAAAATAACAAATACATCATTTAATTAATATCTCTATCATTCATAATTCAATTAATATTTCTATCAAATATAATCAAACCAAGTTCATTATAATAAATTTATAATTATGTATTCATTCTTGTTATTTATCATATTTTTATTCTTCTATTTTTCATTTTGTTTATTTTAGTTATTTTGAATGAATGTATTCTATTTTAATTTATTTGTTGTTCATTTCTTTATTTGTAATTAAATGAAATGATAAAATATGTTATTAAAATTAAATTATTTAATAGAATTAAATCAAACATATTAATTCTATTTCTTTTGTGTTTCTTTTCATTCTTTATTTTTAATTATTTCTAACATTTTCACTACTTCTTCTATTCTTATTCTTTCTTTAGGTTCTTGTTTCCATGTTTTTTCAATAATTTCTTTAATATCTTCTTTAACTTCTTGTATTATTGGTGGTCGTTTACCTGTTGATATGAATTCGGCTATTTTCCATGGAAATTTAAATTCTGTTTTAGGAAATGGATCTTCCCATGTAATGATTTGTAACATTGTTATTGAATATGAATATACATCCGATGGCATTTTATAATGTTCTCGATTTAATACTTCTGGTGCCATGTAAATAGGTGATCCTATCCCTTTTGTGAATGTCATATTTGTCATCATCATATTAATGTTTCTTGAACTTCCAAAATCTGTTAATTTACAATTAACTCCAATATTATCATCAATTGATACAACAAGAAAATTATCTGGTTTAATGTCTCGATGTAATATTCCATTTGAATGAAGATATGAAATTCCTTTTGCTCCATCTAGCATGAATTTAATTCTTAATTTCTTAGGTATTTCTGTGTTTGTTCTTTTATTAATTAAATCTTGTATTGATCCATATTTTGCATATTCTGTTATCATACATATTTTATTAGGAATAAATACTGCTCCATAAAAATGAATGATATATTCACTTCGAAATTTATCTAACATCATTACTTCTTTCTCAAATTCTTTCATTTTATCTTCATCTTTATCAATTTGTTTCATTTTCTTAATTGCTACTTGATTCCCTCTAAATTCTCCTATATATACTATTCCAAATGATCCTTCTCCTATTTTATGTTCTTCTTTTATTTCATCGGGATCAAGTCGTGTTGATATTTGTGTTTCTCCTTTAATTGAAATACTTTTAATTATTTCTTCTTGTGTTTTATTAAGTGTTTTACTAATTATCATCATTTGTTCTTTAATTTTAGTAGTACATTTGATTGTAATGAATATTTCAAATTCACATGCATATCCTCCTTCAATTGTAATGATATTTGGGTTTGTTCTAATTGAATATTTTTCATTTTCTTCTTTACTACTTATTTGTATTTTCTTTTTTTCTTTATTTTCATTTCCAATACATATTAATTCTCTAATTTCTTTATTTACTTCAATTTTTTCTCCTTCTCCTATTTCTATTTCTTTTTTATTTGTTATGATTCCATCTCCAAGTGATATAAATTTGATATTTGATTGTGAAATTTTAAATATTGTTGTTGTTTTCTCTTGTTCTTTCTTTTCTTTGCGTTTTATAATGTAATTAATCATTATTATTATAATTATAATTATTATAATGATGATAATAAGTATAATGATGATAATTATCATTATCATCCACCATACGATTTCTTTATTACATTTTGTTCCTTCTTCATTTATTCCATACCAAAATGAACATTTTGAACATTTATTATTTTTTGTTTCTTTACATTTATTAATATTTGAATAATGAATACATTCTTTATTTATTATTATATATTCTTCTTCACATTTATTACATTCTTTCTCATTTAAACATGTCATACATTTATTTCCACATTTTGAACATTCTTTATTTATTAAATAATATCCTGTTAAACATTCTCTACATCCATATTCTTTATCTATTTCTCCTTTACATCCTTTAATTGTTGTTGTTGATTTACATATTCCTGTTGAACTCATAAAATATCCTTCTCCACATATTATACATTTATCTTTTTGATTACATGTTAAACATTCTTTTTCACATTTTGAACATCCTTTCCCATTTCTATAATATCCTTTATGACATATTCCACATCCACTTCCATCTGCTAATATTCGTAAACATGTTCCATTTAATTCTTCATTTGATTGACATGTTTTATCATTTCTTAAATATTTATCATTAGAACAACTCATACAATATGTAGATGTTCCATAACATGTTTCACATTTATCATCACATTTTAAACATTTCATGTCTTTTGTTAAATAATATCCTTCTTTACATCTTTTACATCCATATGTATTTTGTTCTTCACAATATTCTATTTTTGTATTAATACATTCTCCCTTCAAATTAGGTGAATATGTATTTAAACATTCAACACATTTTCCATTAACATATGATTTATTTAAACAATATTCAATATTATTATTACATTTTCCATTTTGATCTTTTATCATATCTTCTTCACATGTTTTATTTATACATTTATTATTATCTAAATATTCTTCATATTTACATTTTAATTCAATATCATTTGTTTGACATATTTCTGATTTTGAACATTCTATACATTTATTATTATCAATGTATTTTCCATTTCACAATATATTTCTTCATTCTTTCCATTTCGATTCTTTTCTTTATTTGAACATTTTCCATTATTTAATGTATATCCATTTGAACATGATACACATTCATTTCCTTCATAATAACATTGATCTTCTTTATCTCCATCACATTGATTATTTTGTATTTTATATCCATTTGAACATTTTAAACAATAATTTCTTTCTGATTTATTACATTTATTATCTTTTTCTTTACATTCTCCTTTTTCTTTAATATATCCTTCTTTACATTGATAACAATATGTTTTATATCCTACAATACAATTATCTGATAACTGACATTCTTTATTTGAATTTAAATAATATCCTTTTTCACATTCAATACATTCTCTTGTTTCTTCTTTGTAAATCATTATATCACAATGATAATCATTCTTATCATTACTAAATGTAACACCTTTCATTCCAATAATCATTATTTGACTTTTCTTTGTTGTTGATGTTGTTCTTGAAAATTCAATATCATTTGAAAAAGATAAATGTTTTGAAGAAGAAATAATTAGTGTTGAAATTGATTTATCATTATTTTCCACTTCTTTGATTAATGTTGTTCCTTCATTTGATTGTTCAATTGTTAAACTGAATTCAATTCTTTGATATGGTTCTTTCTTTCTATAAATATTGAATGTTATTTGATTTGTTGATTCATATTTTAACCATTGATTAGGATATGTGTATATTGTATGAATATTTGATGAATCATGGTTATTTCTAATAATATAATTATTTGTTGATAATGATATTTGATAATTATAATTAGATAAAGATACAGTGACAGTAACAATAAATGAATTAAAATCATCTTCTTCATCTTTTTTAAATTGATGATTACATTCTGTTGTTATATCATGAATTTCAATATTATTATAACTAAAATATCGAACCATTCCACCACATGTTTGATTAAAATATTTATCATTTGATGATTTTGATGTTATTTTATTGATTGATCCTTCATATGATGATATTAAATACCATATACCTTTATTATCAGAACTAAATTTTAAATTAATAGGAATTGAATTAATATAAGTACGTTGAATAGGTAAATGATAATAATAATAATAATTATCATTTCCACTAACCCACAATTCATCAACATCTCCAATTATTCTTGTTGGACTATTTCCATTATAGAAAATAAATTGAACTTTTTCAAATGAATAAGAATTTTTAATTAATTCAAGTTCAATGTTTGTTTCAATATTCATAAAGTTGAGAGAATAACTTTTACTAATTCCTTCCTCTAATCTTACAATAACTTTATTTGCTTTAAATGTATTACTTATTGAACCTAAATAAAGTGGTTCAATGCCATTATTATTTTTCATTGAAATAATAACTGATGAATATTTAGTATAATCTCCTGTTAATGTACCTGAAATTAAAGTAGATCCACTACAAAAAGTATTTGCATAGATTACAGTATCATTCCCATCAACTTTTTGACAATATTCACCATTACAAAATGAAATAAATAGAAGTAATAAACAAAACCACATTGTTTTTGTTTATTTGAGTTATTTTACATTTTTTTTCTTTATTTCTTTTTTTATTCTTTTATTTTTAGAATATAATAAATTTATATAATTTATTTTAATTTATTTTAATTTATTTGTATGAATTTGTGATGAAAAGGGTTATTATTTCTTTCTTATTATCATTCAATGAAATCAAATATTTCTTAAAATTTCAATTAGAAAAATTTGTTTGTTAAAATATTAACATTATGTGTTTGTTTAAGAAAATAAAGTGAATATGGTTTGTTCATATTTAATTTAATTGAAATATGTTTAAATGAAAATAATTATCGATAATTAATTTGACGATAGAAAACATATTCTTTCATTCTCATTAACTATCATTTTATTATGACTTTATAATGATTAACATACTTATTCTATTTCATCTTATCATCTTCTCATAACTTCATATTTTTATGAAAAGGGGGTAAAGAGATGTTTAAAATAATTTAAATAAATTAAAAATAAATAATTTTAAAATGGTTTATTAATAACACAATAAATAAATAACAACAAACCAATAAACATAAAAATAAATAAAACAATAAAATTAAAAACGACAAAAAACAAATGAAATTATTGTATATTTGATTCCTCAATTTATTTTACATTGTTTGAAACAAACACAACAAACTATTAATGATTAAATAATACCATACAATAAATATACAAGTATATTATAGTCATCATCTTTTAATGTTTGGTAATTTTGAATATCCATAATATGAAATAATAATTCTTTGAATTATTTGAAATATATTGTAATTTAGTTGTTATATCCTTCTTACTGTTTCATTTTATTTACTTTCATCATTCTATTTCTAATTTGTTTCTAAAATGATCACTACAATGAAAAGAAGAATGATGAATGGCATATCATTTTCATTTAATTATATACTTTAAATATTGGTTGTTGTTTACTCTCAATACAAAATAAAAAGAGAGGAAATTGAATGAAAACACAAATAAAAAGAACAATCCATTTACAATCATATAATGAAAATGACAAACTAATAATAAAAGAAAGAGAAAGAAGAAATAAAGAGAAAGAAGAGGTAATGATAATTCAATTGAAATCAATGAGATAAGAAGAAAGAGATAAATCAAATCAAACACAAAATAACAAGAGAAAAAGATAAATAAATGATAAAGAAACACAAAATACATAATATGATAACATCAACAACAATAAAATAAAGAATGATAAATGATTAAATATAATAGAAGACATTTGAATAAACAAAGAAAGGAATAAAAATATGTGAAAAATATAGAAAATGTTTAAATGAATTAAAGAATGAAAATCTAAATAA